GCTATATCCACCCTGAAGGTTAATCTTGGACAATATCTGATGATCGACTCTTTTAAATGAAACCAGAGAGCGTTGACAGARAGGAGAAGGTAGAAATGACTCAGCCTGGAACTGAAAATATGGATGGAGGACAACAGAGCTGCTTCATCTGCTTCCATTCGTTTTAAATGGCAGCACCTGTTTTTATCCACCTCAAAAAAAAGTATCTCTGTACTCAGTGGTGGGCACTAATCCCATAATGCGCAAAAGCAATAACTGCGGACCTTAATTTCTTGTTTGTGCTTTAGGGGTTTTACTAATTTTTTTAAACGATGTGTGGATTTGCGCTTTCAAATTTAAAACTGAGTAATGCTAAACTGCTTGTAATTTGGTACAATTTAGAGAACAATGAACCGAACATGCATATTTTTGGTCTGCGAGAGGAAAAGGAAGTACCCAGGCAAAAAATAAGCACGCACAAAGAGAACATGCAAACTCCACACAGAAAGACCCCACGCTGCGAGGTGAAACTTCAACCTTCTTGGTGCCATGCAACAGCTTTAGCTACTGCACTGCTGTGCAGCACTGAACTTTACCTACAACCTGATGAATGAGGCCTGCACAATTTGAGATTGACTCATACTGTGAAATGCCAACACTCCCACACCACGAACATTGCTCAACATGACCTTGAAGAGAATTTGCTTTGATGCCCACTGCTGAATAATCTTTTCCCAGCAGAACGTGCTGCAGATTTTTGGAAATTACATTTAACCCTTCCCAGACCGCTGAGCAGCTTCAGGTGATTTTCCACCATCATTACTGATGTCTTTCCATTCTGGTAAGGCACTGTATTAACACACACCTGTATGCTCCAGAGCAACAAACTGCCAAAACACCTGGTTTTATAGAGGCGTTTACACTGTCAATGATCAGTGAAATTAATACATCTGATCAGCAGCACCTGGTGAAAACTGTCCCTCTTTAATGCTATGGAGAGAAGACCTTTATCTACACATGGCATTTTTATTTAAATAAACTTTGTTGTGYATACTTTCCTAACAGAGCACTTCACTCTCAGACYGCAGGTTTACTTGTGGTTCCTGGAGTTTCTAAAAGTAGAATGGGAGGCAGAGCTTTCAGTTATCAAGCTCCTCTCTTGTGGAACCAACTTCCAGTTTCTGTCCGTGAGGCTGACACTCTGTCTACTTTTAAAGAAGACATATCATGCTGAATGCACTTTTTTTGCATTCATAAACTATTTTTTTGTGCAATTATAGTGTGTAGGAGTGTAGAAAACTTAAATTTCTTCTGTCCTATTAC